TATGGCTTTGATTGCCATTTGAACATTTGGATACATTATTGTAGCTTTTGCATGGTTTTGATTGCCATTAATACAGTTTCAAGTAAGCTTCTTTTGTCAACCCATAGTTGAAGTGCTTAGTTCCATTTTCAATGTATTCCTATAACTTTAAAACATGCAAGTGTTTCACATATTTCCCATGTTTAAATCCTATTCCAATGTTAAAACATTCTCAATTTAACAACTTACACAAGTTATAAATAGGTTGATTGAAATACATATATATATCACTAAAACCAAACTCATAACACTTCAAGTCATTACAAGAAATTATAACTACTTAATACAGCTTACTGTTAAACACCCCTAACCATTAGGAAAACTACACCCATTAACAAACCAATACAAATGGCCATGCCCACCCAACCAAAACAGTTGATTGAAGACATCTTCCCTACATTGCACTCCCTATTCATTCTCTTCCTGTCAGCGTTCAAGGCCATGCATCTCATCTTCAAATTATCAACTTTATTAAGTAGGCACCTCCTTTGGGCACTGATTTCATCAACTTCCCTTTTCAATTCATTAACTTCACCCTTTAGCAGCTTCTTATTCAACAACAGGTTGTTGATAACCCCTGTTTGCCAATCTGTTCCATCAGGTTGATCAACCCATTCGAAAGCTTTGCAGCCCCTTGTTTCTGTGATTGGGTCATAAAACTTACAAGATATGAACTTCCTTCCTGGATCCTCCATTGTCTAGCTAGTGAGCTTGGCCATTGGCACACCACACTGGCATTTTTTTGCTTAGAAGGGGAAGAGCTAATAAACGGCATAATCTGCATCAATTTTAGATCAACAATCACATTTATAGATTTTTACACTAACGAATTAACATTGTCAGCAACAATTTTCATTTTTAATTGTAACACCCTAGAAATTCATTTCCTTTAAAATACCTACTTTGCCCTTTTAAAATACGAAATAGGAAAATCTAAGACATTACCGCCATCGTGAAAACGGCTAAGGCAAATATCAAAGACACACAGCGGAAGACTATCTTTAAAACCATTTAAAAACAAGTCAACTTAAAAAGTCAAACGAAAAGAAAGTAAAGTCAAACAAAGTCAACCTACAGCTTGGAACCATTGTAGGCCCTTAAAACCAAGCAATACTGAAAACGTTTACGTTAGTCTCAAGAGCATAATAAAAATAAATAATATTCAAAGCAAATAAAACACATCATATTCCTATAGAAACTAAACATGATTTGCTCTTCACTTATGCCCATCATGAATATGCTTCATCACCCGAAAAGCTTCTCTTTACTTGTCCCCACTACTCGCCATTAGAAATGGGTCGTCGTAGGGCCAAGGTAAAGACAAGGCCAAACAAACATACGACACACAATCAACAATGCTGAGTACATAAGCGTAATAAAAAAACACACTAACATGCTTTCATCCTATCAACACACAACTTACCTTGTTGCACCTGTTTACAAGCATACAACATACCAAACGAGCAACCAATAAATAAATGAATTGCTTACTTAATTTGATTACGCATCGAACGGGTTTCCCACCAAATCCCTGCCCCAAAAATTGAGGTAAATTACACCGGAAGCTAACCGGGTAGGCAAATGTCACATAAAGTGACTGGACGTCCTGCGCATAAAATAAATAAAAGGAAAATACAACATCCTGTACTCCCAGTAGAAGTTATAGTCAAATATAAAGGCGCATAACTCCCCCCATATATTCATACTCAAGGTATATACGTTCCAAGAGTTTTGGTGCGTAATCTCTTTCACTTTACGTTGCTTTATATATTATTATACTTGGTGATGACTCTCAAACCATAACACAATCAAACATTATACTTCATTTAAGCAACCAGACATACCAATATAATTCTTGAATAATTAGTGACCATATAAATTTAATTGTTGAACCCTTTTTAATCTACTCGATATCAAAGACACCTTAAACGCATAGTGCGCCGCAAATCCTATCCCTCGGTGTTAGAAACACCTTAAGTGCACATAGGCACCACAATATAATTTATTCATGTGTACTAAGACACTTAAATAGTTCAATTCCCATGCTTATAACATCAATAAAAATTATATGAACCATAATAAAATTTTCTTTTTATATTCCAAACCAAATTAAACATTTAGTTTAATTAAACATGCTCTCTATCATGCCAATAATAAAAGTGTGGTTCATAATCAACATGCCAACATAATTAATTCTAATCACCAATTCATCATAAATAATTCATACTTCACAAATCATTTACCAACATCAATCCAATCACAAATTCCAACCAACACCTATCATGATACTACTTGGAATTAATTTATCATAGCCTAGCATGCCTCTACATATTCAAATAATTACCAAGTACGCGAACGTACCTTGAATATGATCTCAAATCCGCCACAACTAAATAAAATCACTCACTTGGAAGTCTCCTACAATACCAAATACATAAACTCAATTACTCCCTTGATTACACGAATTTCCAGCAACTTTTAAACATTTTAAAACCTCTCCAATAAGCTGAAATTTTGGTTTAAAACCTTTAAAACTCTTTTTATTTTATTATATATTTTTTTTAAAAGTGGGTAATTAAAACCCCAATGTAAAAGCTCAATTATACTGTTTATATAAAAATTCCAGCAAACTTTTTAAGGTTTAAACCTTTCAAATAAATTTGAAAATTCCATTAAAATCAATCAAAACCTTCTCTACTTATGGGTAATCAACCCCTTTTTATTAAAACACAAAAGTAGTACTTAAAATAAACTTCCAGCATTATTATTTTGATAAAAATCATTAAAACTCCATAAAAATATAGTCTTTAAGCTTTATAATCACTTACAATCAATAGGTATATAAAACTCCCAAATCACTTGTAAGTTAGAACCCTAAAAATCAATTCTTTTACAATTGAAATCCTAGCTTTTAATACTTTATAAAATCATAAATTTAAACACTTTATACTCTAAAATTTACAATCTTTAATCATCAAAACATAATTATAAAACATACTAACCATAATTTAACAACCAAAATCAAAAACCAAGATATATAATTGTATAGGAGTAATAATTTAAAACAAGGAAGAGGAGAGAAAAACCACCATCGGTGGTGAGCTGGGCCGGCCGAGGGTCGCTGGCTGCGATCTTATGGTCGACGGAGGTGGCCGGCGGCGTGGCTATGGTAAAGGGTGCCGACTGAAGGCAGCAAGTGGCCATGCATGCATGAGTTCACACATGAACCAAGGAGCAGCAAAGAAAGAAAGAAAAAAATAAGAAAAAGGAGAAAAGAAAAGAAAAAAGAAAGAAAAGAAAGAAAAGAAAAATAAGGAAAAACAAAGAAAATAATATTTATTCCTAAGAATCTGATTTTTGAGTCTCTTTGTGTGGGAAAGTTTTGGAATTTTGGGGGATATTTATAGAGTAGAGAGTAGAGATTAGGTTTAGGCTTAATAAATAAATGAAGGCCAATTTCACTTTTGGTACCACCAAAAGGCATGCACCTCAGTTTTGCTACCCCTCCAATTTTTTTTTTTTTTTTTTTTTTTTTTTTTTTTTTTTTTTTTTTTTTTTTTAATTTTGCTACCACACAAAAACACATTGACAAAATTTGCTACCACTTAACGGAATGGGTTAGGATTCTGTTAAGTTTATTAAAAAAAAAAAACCCACTGCCACCCTCCCCCCAACCTTTCCTCCACCTTTGCAGCCCACCACCATCAACTGCCCAGCCAGCCCCCTCCCGTCAGCCACCCTCCCCCCTGCCGGCGACCGGCGCCTAATGCTTTGGCTGGCGCCGGCGACCCCACCCCAATTCTTTTCCCCCACCAACGCAACCTACCCCCCCCACCTCGAAACCGGAAAACAACCCTCCCTCCCCATGCCCCCCACCGGAATCGACCCCCCTCCCCTTCCTCCACCCTGATTTTGGGTTTTTCGGTTTCGGGTTTTGCAATTGATCAGAGAAAAGGTGTATTTGAGTGTAAAATGAGAGTGAGAGTGAAGAAGATGATGAAGATTTTGGGCTTTCCGGTTTCGGGGTTGGGGCAGCGAGAAAGGGATAAGGGAGGGGGGGTGGGTTGCGTTGGTGGAGGAAGGGGATTGGGGTGGGGTCGCCGGCAGGGGGGAGGGTGGCTGACGGAAGGGGGCTTGCTGGCAGTTGAGGGTGGTGGGCTGCAAAGGTGGAGGAAAGGGAGGGGGGAGGGTGGCAGTGGGTTTTTTTTTTTTTTTAATAAACTTAACAGAATCCTAACTCATTCCGTTAAGTGGTAGCAAATTTTGACAATGTGTTTTTGTGTGGTAGCAAAATAAAAATAAAAATTGGAGGGGTAACAAAACTGAGGTGCATGTCTTTTGGTGGTACCAAAAATGAAATTGGCCATAAATGAACTTTAGTCATGAAATATTTGACCCACAAGGGTTCAAATAAAAGAATTGGGCTTACTTAAATTAAATGGATAGGTCCACTAGGAGTATATAAGGATTGTTTACATACTATTGTTTAATGAGCCCAAACAATTAATAAATGTTTAGCCCAAAATGTATTATACTTTTATAAAACTCAATAATTTAAATACTTTAGCCCTTTAATTATTTAATTAAGATACTTGAGCACTTAAAAATATATTTTATAATTAATTAAAAAATTTATAAAATACATAAAAATACGGAGTTTACATTAATTACCTAATACGAAAGCCCCAATTTCAATTTGTGATGAACCCTAATTTTGTAATTGGGCAGTTACATGCATACATAACATAATCCAACCATCAATTCGAGTACAAAACAATTGTAAATAATAAACGTAATGAATTTAAACCATTATTACCAAACAAACGAACTATATTTCCCTAATTTGATTACATATAATTCGTTGTCATCGTATGAACAATGCTTCGGTAATTTTGGTTTTTTGGATGCAATGCGATCTGATTCTACTAAATTCAAACAAAGATTTGGTTACAAAAGGAGATAATTGGGGAGAATCGTGCATATATATAGAGAGATTTTAAAAAAATTATCCGTTAGAGTGGGGCCCAGTAACAGTTTTGTTAACGGATACAAGATTTTGGTGGTAACTTCAAATTTTTAATTTTTGTGGTGTTAAAATATATTTTTTTTTTTTGAATATCAAAAACCATTTTCAGCCTTTTATCAGGTATGAAAATCCAAAATATCTTCAATATGAAATGAATGAATAATGAAGTACCCGAAAACGCGGAAAACCGCGAGAGCTAGCTAATGAACCCCCACGCTATTTATATACTGTATCACGCTTTTTCCTCAATGACTCTACCTTTGATTACACTTTGCCTCTTCTGTTAAACTCCAAAAACTGAGCAATTGTGAAGCTCGAGTAAGCGGACGTTGATGGCAGAATTCGTCAACACTGAAATGCATCTAGGGTTTGGCTATTTTCTTTGAATTCCTCTTTGAATTTATCTCTTAAGTTGTTCCGTTTCATTAATTTTACTGTGAATTTCTGCTAGTGCTAAATCTCAGCGGATGAAGACGGACAATGACAGTGACAGTGACAGCGACATGGATCTATAGTTTGTATCTCATCTTTGATTTTACTAATTTGCATCAAATTTATGCTATAATTTTGTAAATTTTGTGCAATTTTTTTTCATAATTTTTTGATTTTTTTTTTTCTAAAATTTTGGTGCTGCTGTGGTAATTTTGCGTTAAATTGATGCTATAATCTTGATATTTCGCTAATTGGTTGTGGATATTTTTGAAAATCAAGTCTAAAAAGAGTGTTTGATTTTTATAATTGCTCTGTTTTCCATTCTACAAGTTGATTGTGCTTTTGTCGATATAATTGTTGAATTATTATTGCTAATTTGAGATCATAATTTCAGTGACGACATCATTTTACCAGGGCGTCAGCTATCCCCTTCTTCTGTATCCTCACTGTAAGCTTATATATAATTTCCAGCTCCCTTTGTTTTAAAAATATATTTTACGCAATTGATCTCCAATGCTTGTCTGATTTTATACGAAATATTTATTGATTGAATTCCTTGTGTGTGTGCGCACGCGGGAGTGTCTGAATGTGTATTTGTATGGTTAGAAGTATCAAAAACTGACCTAATTGACCTGAACTGGAAGAATATACTTGTATGGAACTATGCATGTAGTAATTTAGCATGACTTCAATCTAAAATCAACCCGACTTGACTTCACTGAACTCGACCTGCACACAAAAATTGACATCTCTACGTGTGGTTGTCAATTACGTAGTATATTTGTTGTGGATTGTGTAACTGTATCCTGCTACCGGAATACTTTTTTATAAATTGGGTTGGCTATTAAGAAAATAAACTAATATCGAAAGAACTCATGTTAACTATGATTGTTATTTTTTGCTGCTTCTTATGGATAACTTGACATTATTTCAGCAAGGATCCCTCTGCTCCACAGGCATTGTCGCGGCGTCTTCATCCTGACATGGAACAGCAAGAACAATATGCTGCGTTCTTATAGTAATGCTTTCCACAAAGATATCTTTTCTCTTGATTGAATTATTTATTTTATGAAAACTCAGATTTTTTCACAATGTAATTTGACCAGTGCTTGACAATGGCAATTAGTACAATTTTGGAGTAGACTTGTAAATTAACTCTGTTAATGACTCTTAATTATTGTATGTGTTGTTTATCATGTTTGGATAACCTGACTAACAGCTTTTTTTTATTTTATTTTGCTTCTTTGTTTGCATGATTTGACATTATACTAGCCAGCATCCTCCTGCACCATTGTTGTGGTCAACTCTTCATCCTGGCAAAGAAATGCCAAAATATTCTCCTGTAAGTTCACAGTAAGCCCAGTTACAAACGCAATTTGTCTTTTGCCTTGTAACATGGATGGGCACTGGGCAGACTAGCTGATTGCTCTGTTTAATATTCATCCATTAGATTTTAAATTCCTTCTTCACAACTTGTCATCAGATTGGTCTGTTTTTGTGAATTTATAACATCTGTTTTACTCAAATTGAGCTTTAGTATTAGTGAGTTTGTTCTTTCTCCCTGTAGCTTGACCATTTCCAACTCCGACAATGAAAGCTACACAACTTGGAGGTAGAACCATCTAACTTTGTTTAATCACTCTTAATAATTTTGTATGTGGCATTATCATCTATAGATAGGCTTATAAATAGTTTTACATCTGTTAATTAATTATCTTGTCTTCGTATTATTTACATTAGCATTGGATAGTTCTTTTTTCCTCATGTATGTTATTATTTTTTCCCCAATAATAATGAGAGAACTGTACTAATGCAGCTTGAGAAATTTCGTAAATCAATGAGATTTTTCTTTGAGTTTAAATTTGTTTGGCTCTTTTGTGCTTTGCAACAGGGCACGTGTATGTGAATCTGATAGCCCTCCACTGAAGCGACTTCGTCATGATGAAATCAAAGCGTGTGTATATTGATTTAACCTCACTACAATTAATTACCACTTCATATATATATGTTTTATTTTTTATAATGATTTTTGTTGTGTTTGGTGATTATTTCATCACCTGCTGGCATTGGACCTAGCCAAGTAAGACCGTCTTACTTAATTCTTTTTCTTAATTTAACTACTTGATTGATCTAATTGGTGACATGTTTACTTCCTGTAAAAATAATTGTTTTGTTCCAAAAATTTTTTATACAATAGAATCTATATGGAATCCTTATTATATGGGTCAGACTTCACATAATGTTATTTTTGCTTCATGAGGTTAAATTTTGCTTTTCTCCAAAATGATTTTGAACATAAGATGAAGTTTCTTTTCCACTTTGTATCAAAATAGTGAATTTGGTAGGTGTTTTGTTGCTATTCAAAGGCTAACAGCTATTGTCAGGTCAGAGCTGTTTGGTAAATTGAAAGTGTAGAATAATTTACAAGTCTTGTCTTTAATTCATATAATAATCTCACTTATTATGCAGTTATGCATTTCATCCTTCAGGTAGCTTATTACAAATTATCTGCTCTTACACTATTTTCATTAACAGACTAGCCATATTTGTGTTCCATCAATTTCATTATCCATTTACAAAAGGAACACACTGCCGAAGAATTTAGGAGAAAAAGACGACTTTAATTGTTAATCTGTCAATACAAGAAATAACGATAATTTATAGAGTTCTCAAGTGGCTTGACATTTTTTTTTGGGCAATTGGGTGGCTTAAATTACTCTCAAAAGAAAACCAATTCAAAAACTGACTAAACAACTTTTTTCCAATGCCATTCTCTCTATCAGGTTTTTATAAATCTTTTGATTCTTCCTTCCTTAGCTTCTTATAGCAGAGTTAGGCTTTGTTATTTTAACTTGAAATATCTGAAGTCAAGTCTGGTTTGATCTGAGTTATTCTAATTAGGTTTGATTTGATTGTTTAATTTGATTGAATTATGGCCTCATTACTGTATATGAAAAAACATGATCAAGTGAGATCTTGTTAAATTCACCTTAATGTGTATTTTTTAAACATCTGATTTTCATAATAATTTTAAAAACAAAGTTAAGGATATATGACAATAAGCAAACGAAACTGATTAGGTCTGAACTTTTTTGGGTTGATCTGATGATCTGAATTAGTAAGGTAAAGAGAACAAAGCCTTATATTGTGCTTCCCTTTGTGCCTTCCTTTGATGTTGATGGGCACTGTCCCACTCAAAACAGATGTCATGCTTCCAAGTTCCACTTTTGTTAAAATGAAAGAGTGGGAACTATTAAGGGTGTAAATTTGTAGTTTTGTGGGTTTAGTAGATTAAATGATGATTATTGTTGCAGAAATAGGTGGGTTTAATGAATAGTGGATTGAGTTGATGTATGAGTTTGGTGGAGTAATGAGTATTGACTGAGCTTTGTCTAAGTTTGGAAAAATATTTTGAAATTTGGGTTAACTAATGGTGGCCCTAACCTCACTCATTTAAGTTGAACTTGTTTTTAACTTCTGCTCTACCTAATAGATTCATTGTGAGGTTCAACGAGTTAGGATTAAAATGGATTGGCCTGACTTCTGTCCGTGCCTCATTAAACGGAGTAAAGGTGAATTTTTAGGAGGAATTGAAATGTGCCTTATTGCATTCTTGATGCCTCATTAGGGTATTGACATTGTTGCTCTTAGCAACATCTTGTGGAATTTTCTCCAAGATAAGGATAATTTGATAAATCTTCTCACACCACCGCATGAAGAAGTCTCCATTAAATTGCTTGTCTACTTCTCCACCCTTAAATTTTCTAGGGAACATAATTCAGGCTTATAGAGGCCCTATTGCTGGTAATTTGTTTTTAAGCAATTAGATATAAAGAATTTATTACCTTATGTATGAATATATAAATTGTGTCACAATGGTTAACTATCGATATATTTTTAACTAGAGTGCGGTTAAAGGTTCAAACCTTGGATCCTCCGACCTTTTGATCTAAGATCCACCACTCTCACACCAAGACACCCTTGTATATCCCCTAGCCACCTTTATGGCCCTAATTTGGATTCAATCCCCCAATTTGAAAAATCTACACCAACCGTTGACATGGAAGCTCCAAAGCCACCAAAATGGCTGCCCGAACCTACATCTAAACTACAAGCTCTTCCCTTCTAGTGCACCTTGGATTGTGAAGGTGCCTGGCACACTTGAGACCCACTCATACGAGATTTTCCCTTTATGACTCAATCTCCTCTGCTTGACCATGGTGTGCGCTATCCACTAACTGGTGCTTGCTTAGATTACCACCTCCAATGTTGAAGGAAGCTCAAATTTTATTGTTGGATTGCTCGACCTCCTTTTTTGAAATCCTTAGGTCCATATTTTTATTATATTTGTAAACTTGTCCCAAATTGTTTTTTGCTTTCCCTGGAATAGACTTTGCTTACTCCACCAATTCTTGTAGAAGTTTTACCATTTGCAAAAGTGTATGCCAATATATCACTAGGACCTTACCTTCTTTGTCAGCTTTTTAGATATGAAATATGAAAGGTGAACTTAGGATTTATCTAACCAACTTCTGGATCATTGGAATCTTGCTTGAAATTTTATTCCATGCCATGAGACTTGTTTATTTCTTCTCATTACTCATCTATTTTATCAGTGATTTTCCCTAATTAACTTCATAACGCTTGCAATTAAACAGTACATCTCCTTTACACTCTCCCTATTTTTTTTGAAATTTGTGCTGCATCATATGGCTAATTTGACATAATTTCAGATCATAAAGTGTAGACTTCAGTCATTAAAGGCATAAATATAATTCTGCATCCTGAATTTCTGACAGTAAAGGCACTAGTTTAGAAATGGCACATATCAAATTCTCGTTAAAAAAATTCCGTCTTATTTTTTTTTATCCTTTTATATATTTTCTTAATCTCAAATTTTTGTTTTGGAGCGGTTTTCAATATTAGTATGTTAATAAGTTTTGATGAATTATGATATTGTACCTTGTTTATGAAATTTTTTTTTATTTTTATTTTTTTTTTGGCAATGAAAACTGTTAGTTATACATAGATTGAGCTCTTTTTCTTTTGTCGTCAAAAATTGGTAATATTAGTGGCAGGGTAGTAGCAACAAGTTTCGACCGTACATATTCACTAACTAGGTTTTTGTTTTGTTCTGATGTGTATGTGTTCTAACTGAGTGATTCATTTGCATAATTTGAGACTCTTTTTCATTGCAATGTTCATGACAGGAATTTCTCTATGCAACTTTGGTATTTTTTTGATTGAGATTATTTATATGAATCGCTGAACGCAGTCAAAGTTTACTTTAACCACATGAATAATAAGTGTAAAGTATTTAAAGAGCGGAAAAGTAATTAAATTCTAATAATTTATGAACCAATTTGTTGTTTGACAAAGAATTTATTGTTTCTATTGTTTCTACAATGAACTTGTAAGTTTTTTACTAGTTTAGCAGAATCTCTTGAAAGAGGTTGTGAGCTGCTGACCATCGTTGATAAGCTACGAAGTTCTTAAGTGACTTGCTAAAATGAAACACTTTTGAATTGGAATCTGATCATTAAAAGACAAAAAAAAGTGGAATCAATCAAAACTTTTGTCTCCATTACTCTTGCTATCTCTATTAATTAGAGAGTTGTTTTATACTGCTTATTTAACATAAATTTCAGAGATGTCTTCATAAATTTTAGAGATGTTCTTCTGAAATTATGGTCTTCCTTCATAGAAGGGCAATGGTGATATATGATTACATGCATTCTTACATTAAACCCACAATGGCAACACATGTTGGCAGTCTTGGCACATTGTATCTTGATTGTTTTGTATTTAATTTTCCATCTTGGAATGAAAGTCTCGTCAAAATTTTCTGCGCTGTTCTGTATATATCAATTGAATTCTTTTTTCTTCATGCGAGTTTATCATCATAACTTTTCTTCTGCCCCTTGAATTTGTATTTATTCTTATAAAATTGATTACTTGATTTTGCTAATATGGTTTTGTTCGTTCACTTTGCAGCGACTTGACCTTTGCCCCTACTTTTGACAGTGAGGATGACAATGATGACGGGTATAGGTAGTCATTTACCTCTGTTTTGATAGAATCACCCACCATTTTGACCTAACTTGCTAATAAATGATGTATCCTGCTTGTGAAAATCAGCTGTTGTATATTGGGCTCTTTTGTTTTTCTAATCAAAACATAGTATAGGCCTATAGGGGCAATTGTGGAAGCAATAAAGTACTTGTATGGCAAATAATTTCTTTGCTCTTTTCTTTAATGTGTATTTATTTTATTTTCTTTTCTATTTCACAGCTCTGATGCCTCTGATTCTTGCTACGTGGAATTGGATAGACCCACCCAAATGCAGCCACTTGATCCTCATGCTGCAGCTTACATTTTCATCTTCATTTTAATAACTGTTTCATCTAGTTGATGACATGTTTGGTTGTAGTTGATTTTGATTGTTTGCTTAGCTATGTAATGTATGTTTTCATTATTGTAGGTGTTTGTTTTTTAGTGATGCTCAGACTATTGTGTCAACATATGCCTGACCTTGGTGTGGACATAGAATAGGAATTGGACCTGGAGGGAGAAAATGGAGCTGGTACTTTCTAAACCAAGATCTAATCTTGAAATTAAGATCCACTAAAACAACAATCAAGACCTTGGTTCTTTTCTACCTCTTGTTAAGCGACAACAGCTTGATGTGAGGGTTTCTCTTTTCATATAAGATTAGAGCATGTTATTGAGTGGGCCAATGTCATGTAGGATGAGTAACATGTATGCTTTGGACTTATCATATTAGGTACCTCTTTTAAGTTTTCGCATACATATTGCCAACAATATGTCAATTGAAAAATAGAGAAAAAATAACTGTGTCCTTGAGTCCATATCTTGACATTTGGACACTTCTCAACCACGATCCCATGTCCTTGATTGGAATATTTCTTGTCAGACTCCTGGATCCATAACCGAGTTAGATTTATTCGAGTCTGAGCATTATGAGTTTGTTTAGTATCCATGTACAGTTGTCATACTTTGCATTATGCTTTACGCTGGGAAAGGAGTAAGTATGCTTCTGTGTGAAAATGGATAAACTTATGCATGAGATCAACTTGCACGGCTTTTAGCTTGTTAAGGCTAAAAACTATTAATAGAGGCTCTTTTTGTATATGAGATGCCTAAGTCAAAAGTCCATGATTTTACTTTCAAATTTTACTAGTTGTGACGTTGTGTAGACATCTCTTGTAAAAATTTGCCTGGTGATCGAGCAGTGAGCATGGCTGATATGCTGTAGAGTGTAGACCTCTTAGGTGACATGCTAATCATAGCCTAAACACTTATATTTTTGAATAAGCATGTTGTCCTAAAATATGCTTTGTACATAAAAGGGAACCGATAACATTGAATCTAATAAAACCAATGCAACAGAATGTCACTGCTTTTAATTAAAATCATTGATGTGCAGCGTAGGCGGTACATTGTGTGGGGTGCCTTTAATATGTTGATTTGCCAGCCCATTTTTTCATTTCTTGCCTCTTCCAGTGGAAAAAACCAAACAGGATCAGGCCAATTTAGTGAAGGAGAGAAATAAATAGTATGATCTGCCATCAACTTAATAAAGAACCACACCTAGGTTTTTATACGCCTCACCTATGCTTCAGATTTTTTCCTGAAAGAAATTGTTGCCAGGACTCAAGCATGTGTTTGCAGCATAAGATCAGTCCTCCACTGGGAAGAATAAATTAATTTGACCCATTATTTTTCTTTTATATTAACTATTTGATCCATCTTTTTCTTTTATAATATTAATTAGTTGATCCATATTTTTCTTTGATATTAATTATTTGATCCATTTCAATGCACTCCTCTAAATTATTTGATAGTGTCATTGAGGAATGATTGCCAGACCTAATACTGGTGTTAGCAGGATTAGATCATGCCTTGACCTGGGAAAATTCATTCACAGAATTGCTCAATATATGATGTCATTAACGTGATTCACAATCTTTTTATTCATTTGCTTTTATTAATGTTTGCCCGTAGCATCATTGTTTGTCATAAGAAGCTTTGCTCATGGGTTACCCATTAGCTTACAAAATTGTTCTCATAAGAATGCTAGACATAACAGAAACATAGAATAGATTTTCATAATCAGAACATCTTTGATACAAGATGTAAATTATTGATGAAGAGAATGCAAAATGTGCTGATTAAAATATTTATGTTTGTCTGGTTGAATCATATATTTTTGTATTTTGTTTTCAACTTTGTTCATACACTGTTTAAGCTTTTCTCTGATTTTGGTGCTTCTTTTTCCTTACTTCAGTAGTGATGAACTGGAAGGGGAAAATAACACCACCAGTGGATTGTTTGATTTAGAGCTCGCAAGAAAGAAGTTTTTATTTGCCCTTATGGAACCTCAGCACCCAGACTCAGAAAATGAGGTGAATTTGTTTGATCACGAACGTAGATGTTTTGATCTGGCTTTGGCCTTTCTCAAAGAGACGAAGGTTTTGTTCTCCCACCTCAATTTTTCTCCGTTATTATCCATCATTTCTAATTCTTGACTTCTTAGTTTTCTTGTTCCAAATAATATTAGGGCGGTGATTATAAGTTTGTACTGCTTGTTACAATGTGCCCTTTAACTACATCAAAAGGTTGGGGCACTCATACATACTTTTTTGCTCATCTCAAAGGCACAAATTCTTCTCCAGAACTCTTTTTCGCCGACGTGGTGCTTGCACCAGTAAATTCTGTACACTGTTGTAAAGTGGATCCTAGTTCCTTTTCTCTTGGTAAGCTATGGTTTACTTTCATTTTACTGTGTTGTAGTGTATCTTGCAACCTCTGCTATCTTGTTAATTTCTTTTGTTGGTTCTCTCGTGCCTCTATTTACAGGTAAAGCTCCTCTCCAGTTTGAAGTGATTTCTCATTGCCCGCACGTCAAGTGTTTTGAGTGTGTTGATCATTGTAACTATGAGTTTGAAAGTGATATCGAGGTCAGCAGGTGATCTAGAAGATTTAGAATCTTGCTCTACGACTTATATGGATTCTTTTGTCTATTTGAAGGACCTGTGTTGATTACTGTTGTTAACTTATGTCTGGCATATTACAAAGAAAAGAAGGTATAGTCTCATTTATTTTATTGAAGTATTTTACTCTCTTATTTATTCCTCTATTTTATAGTGTACAGTACTGGTTAATAACTAACTAATCTGTTTTAATTGGATTTCTTTTTCTTTTGCTCCAAATAATATTAGGGCGTTGATTATGAGTTAGTCCATCTTGTTGGACAAACCGTTATTAACAGATCAGTTGGTTGGGGTACTCATATCAACTTTTTTGCTGATATAAAATATGCACCAAATGAAGTTTTACACTGTTGTAGACTAACTCCAGCGCCCTATAATTTTGGTATGTTATTCAAATTGTTTCGTTCTCTTACCTATACGGTGGATCTTTCAAACCTTTTTGCTAATATTTTTGTGTTTTTATTTACAGGCGAAACTCATCCTCCGGATGTTTTTATCTTTCACTGTCCGCATGTTGAGTGCTTGCAATGTGATGCGTTTCTCAACTATTTCTACCATGATGATAGTGAAGAAGATGTAATCGATATCTAAATATGTAACTAATTAATGTTGTAGACTTATTATTAGTGCTAGGATTAGGACGATTATCACTGAATTTGGCAATAAAAACATATATTATGTATTGAATCGTTGTGATATATCATGAAAATTCATTGCAATTAGATGTTTCGTTTTTCTGGGCAATTCTTCCTGTAAACCCTAATTCTCATTTATCTTATGTACCCTATATTTTTTCTGGGTGTCTGTACAGGATTTTTCTCAATTTCATGCTAATTTCCGCCTTTCTACTTTGATTTCTTGTGTATCTGAAAATTTTCAATCATTTGGGTAATATTAATCTGCCTTTGTGTTGATTTTCTTCTTTCAGTATTTTTGACAACCATTCGTAAATTCTGTTGCAATGATCTTTGCTTCCGTAAATTTGGATCATCTTACTGAAACTGTAAGTAAATTCTTTGCTTTCTGCAGTTACATTTTCAATTTTATTTTGGTCTTATTTAGCACACCTAATTCTTTGTCTCTGAGACACTGACAAACGATATTCGTTTATGTGGCAAATTCGCGTCTTTGAGCACTTCAACATGTCATTTTACATGAACTACTTGGCAAGATGGCCGGATTATTTCCATGTTGCTGAAGGCCCTGGCAATCGAATTATGGGTTACAGTATGTTTCACTTCTATTCCTCTCCTATAAGATGCATTGGTTTGTACTTCTTGAAGTACATGATTGCTTTTTCCTGTGTACTTTGAGTATCGTTTGGAATACTTGTGACCATTTTTTATTACAAACTTTCTTGGTCATTGATCGCTTTTTTATGGAAATCACAATCGATTTCAGGTTGGTTTTCCTTGGATCCTCTTAGAATGCTTCTTGAAATAGAGGAAAAAAAATCGAGTACTTGTAATTCTTGCATATGTGTTCTCTTCTACGGTTATAAAATTTCTCTCCTTCCTTCTTGGATTTTGAGTATGAACATGGCAAAGTAATTGATTAGTGAAGGCCTTATATGGAAATTATTTGTCGGCTGGTTCACTAGTTAGTAGTTTGTAGTATTAGTTGTTTTTTTCAAGATGTTTGGAAAAAAATTAGATGCCTATAAGATATTTGGGAAAATTAGTTGCTCTCATTGTTAATATGTGAATGTGACCACTTTGTTCAATTTTTGAGTGGAAGGAGACCAGAAAATCTACTATACTAAGTACGAATGAAAGGATGTATAATAATTGCTTCTTTTTAATATAATAGTCATGGATGTTTAAATAAGCTGTCATATCTCCTGAAATGTAAATTGATCTGGCTTGGATTCTATACAAATGCCCACCTGATGAGTAATGAAGAAAGGGAAGAAGAAACACCACACAACTATTACTATAATGGAAAGTCTTAGAAATAATTTTGTCAAAACATGTGAAAATCTGAATAGTGATCTGGTACAATGTGACAATTACTTCAAGATGGAGTGAAGAGTCAATGTAGTTAGGTTGTTTTCTCTTTAATCTCATGCATTTCATCATTTTGGGGCTCTGCGTAGCACGAGGAGTGACATATGGTGGGTGCCAGCACTATGATTGACTTAAAATAATTGCATGTAGCTAATATATGTCTGGCCTTGTTTTATTAATGTGCCAAAGTCCATCCTGATAATGTAGTCTTTCGACATGTCATCTTGAAACGAAAAAGTTGCGTCATCCATACTCTAGAAAGAATTTCTATGATGCTTTTAACATTTCACTGGTTAAATTATTCCTAAATTATTCCTGATACTATTAGCTGTAAGATGTTGGTGAATATACTAATGTGAACTTGCTATATACTTGTGCTGCTTGCCTCCCTGGATGGTTTGGCATCTGTCGTTAATCGTTTGTAAGTGAATAATTATACATTATTCAAGAAGTTATGGTGTAACGATTTTTTTTATTTTATTATTATTATTGTAAGTTTCTTTTGTCTATTTGTTGTAGTTATGGGAAAAGTTGAAGGCCAGGGTGAGTCTTGGCATGGTCATGTTACAGCAGTGAGTGTTGCACCAGAGTATCGCCGACAACAGTTAGCTAAGAAGTTGATGAATTTACTGGAAGACATCAGTGACAAAATGTAAGTATCTTGCTGTTGAATAGACTATCTAAGTATTTACTTTTGGAAAGCCATCAAAATCCTGCATGGAGGCGTTAATACCATAAGGGAGTGTTCTTTTCTCAAGCCACTCTTTACATGGAATGTGCTCTATGGATAATGGATTAATTATAGTTTGTGCTTTAGTCCTCTGTAGTACTTTTTGTATAACTTTCTTTTTAATATTTTATGTCTTGTTGGAAGTATCCCTAATACCAAGAGACCATTTGGATGAATTCACGTGAGTTCAGCGTTTCTAATATATATATTTTGCTTTCAATGCAATGGCCATATATTTGGCCATGTGGTAAGTAAAACCAAATGAAAAATGCCATACATAATATTGAACATCTGATGGAGTGGTGGATGGGATACATGGAATTTTAGTCTTCATATACATGGCAATATAATTTACATGTTGTTTGGATGGGGGGAGATGAAGGGAAAGGAAGGGAAGAGAAAGGGAGGGGGACAAATCACCTTGTTTGGATAATGGATTGAGCGAAGGAAGGGGAGGGAAAGGGAGGGATTCATTTTTCCTCCTCTTTTAATAAACACTATACCTCCAAAATTGGAGAGATTTGGAGGGAAAATGAAGCTCCAAATTCCCCCTCCCTTTCTTTCCCCTTCCCTTCCTCCTATTTCCTTTCCCTTCTAAATTGTTATCCAAACATGCTGTTAATAATTTTTTGTTTATGCACCTTGATTCTTGAAGTATGCTGAAACAATCTTTTGGTGCATATTTTCTCGTTATTTCTTCTTAATGGAAGGGTGTTTCAAACATAAGAGGCTAAGAGCACAATCTTGTAATAAACCTTCAGAAATGTGCAAGCAAAAGCTAATGAAATTTGATTTGAGAATATAATACAGTACACAGTTAAGCAAATGAGCCCAGGTTTATAATCATGAATTGCAAATAAGCTGAGCTAACTCGATCATTGGGCTGTTAGAGTTTGCTTTTTTTAAGCATTGTGGCTTTTTGCTAAACTGAGTTTTCCTCATTTGAGCATAAAGCACATCTTGCTCTAATGAACCATAATTTGTTTGAAGCTTAAGCATGTCAAGCAACTCATAGACTTAGTTTGCCTCTATGGTTTTGTTATAGTTTGGGGGCATTTGTGTGTTTTGTTTCGTGGTGTTGTTGGTTTTATTTTATCAAGATGTATAGAACTGTTAAAAATAGTCAGATATTGCTCAGATTTTTCCCTATTGACAAGATATGTTTCGCTTTTCAGTGATAAAGCTTACTTTGTTGACCTTTTTGTTCGGGCATCAAATGTACCAGCCATAAAGATGTATGAAAAAGTAAGTATCCTTGACTTCATTATGTACTTATTTGTTTAGTTTTGGTTTCTCTTTCAAAATTGAAATGCTTTACATGGAGCATTTTCATGCATCTCTTTGTTGTACTAGTCATGAATTAGCTCTACTGGCCCCCTTTCTACAGCTTATAATCACATTTGCATTGATGTGATGCCTCAACCTACTCCATCATATGGTTGATTCTTGTGTTGTTTAATGTTTTTATAAAGGGCATGTGGCCAGGATATATCCTTGGTTATGAGAAAAGGAACATCATTGTTGGACCCTCCGAAGAGATAGTGGACTCGTCACTTATGAACCCTAGATCTAAAATATAGGGTTGGATTTACCAAAACTAGAGCTGATTTGGTATTCGCTGGTCATTTATTCAGTTTTAGATTATGAGTTAATAGAGAAGATCTGAGTGCTCATCTGTGGAAACATGGGTATGCAATAGTTTTCTGTTGTGGTAACTGATGAGCGTGTGAGTCAAAGCATTTTTGAAGAGGTGCAATAGGCATGCTGTAGGTGTACTGGCTGTGCACCGCCTTATGCCTGAAGTTTATGCCTAGGCTGTAATACCCCTATTGCCTCAGTGGGCCTTGAGCTTTTAAAACATTATTCACAAGCTTTTGGTGCACTCTATAAGATGGTTTCTTAGAACTATGACTAAATTACCTATGGTAGTGGCTTGCTTTTTTGCATTGTGATGGTGAGACGGATTTGAGAATTCTATGCAAACTTAAGCAACCTGAACAAGACTATTAAGCATTTTTTAACGGTAAATTAAACTTGATTAGAGCACAAGAAACTCAACACAGCCAATCAATTTAGGTTTACCTCCATGCTTTAGAATGGTTAGAATACTTTTGACCTGCAGAATGAGTATATTGAGTCTTTAGTTATATAGATTCAAAATCTTTCAACTTTCTTTCTGTGTAAAGAAATAATGGAATGTATGGAAGAGAATAGGAGGAATAATAAAAGATTTTATGCTATGAAAACTTCAACCTAGCTTGAATTTTTGGGTAGAGAAAAGGAATGATAGGTGTAAAGCCCACCAGTGATTCAGAGAGTAAACAAAATCTAATTTACTCTAGACCACATTCCTTGTATATAACAGTCCACTTCAATTTTCACTCTATTTCCATTCGTTTTAAATTGTTCATTGTTGAATAGAAAAATCCTTGCTCCCTTTATTATTCTTCACAAAGGTTTTGTGGACCATCAGATGCTAAGGGTCACACTGCTGAGCTGATGCTTGGAATGGAAGTAGATGTTAGACCAAGAAGCATGAAATCATAGAGGTTTTGTGGGAACTCATGTAATGATGTGAACCATTTTATGCATATGAGGTTTGATAAGGAGAAGAGTGGTGCTCTCATGGTTTTAAAACCTCATCCATGTTGGGGAGGATTTAACCCTTTTGTCCCTTTACACAAATTACTCCATGTTAAACGAAAGAAAAATAATTATGCCAATAAAAAGGTTAAGTGCATCAGAAATGCTAATGGAAATATGAGATGGAGATTAGAAAACTGGATAAGTAGAATATTGACGATAATAACCATTTCCCACCCTTTTTATTTTTTCAAGTTTTGAAATTAAAAGCAAATGTGTATTTTGTATAAATGGTTGCATAAAATTATGCTCAATAATATACTGTTTTTCCATGTGTATCAGCTTGGATATGTGGTGTATAGACGAGTTTTATGCTATTATTCTGGTGAAGAAGATGGATTAGGTAATTTCCTTTACTGTTACTTATGAATCTCTAATACACGGTAACTTTTTTCAAGTTCACTAATGAAAGAGCATTTGCATAAATTTGTTAAGCTTTTGCAACATTATCTAACACTTATTTTTCTTGGTAATTTATTTCCAGATATGAGGAAAGCATTATCGAGGGATGT